GGCTGCTGAACAAATGGCTTTATGCTGAAAGAAAACATTGGATATGAAGTCAAACACTAGTAATTCAATTATAGCTTATTACCTTTGAAGCCATTTAATAACCAATAACTGTTTTTGTCACATAGTTGGTGCATTTGGCATAGTGAAACATCACTCAGATGAACTTCTTTCTATCACAAGGTTTCCTAAAGTCTGTTTTCATTGTGGTAGCTAAAAGAGTGGGAAAGTTAGGTTGCAGTAGAACCTAGCAAAGCCTAGTGCACAACAGAAGCCATGAATAGGAAATATCTGCTTCAGATCTCACACCTGCCATATACTAAGTGGAAAGACTCAGACAAACCAGACTTTGTATTGTTAAATGGGGTTAACACTTCTGGTCTACCTTGAAAGGCTGCTGTAAGAATTGTTGCATAGTAAATACTTCTGTTATTATAGTGAACCTTCCACTCCTCATCCTGGAAAAACAGACATGCAAAATGCTATCTGCAGTCCACTTTCACTGCAGTATCCAGAAACCAGCTTCATACCTATGATATGTTAAGTGGCTAGAAGTTCTCTTCTTGCTTGGCAGCCAGTGACCTACACTAGGAAGAAACTACTAAAGACTTCCTTCCTTCCATATTGTACTGACAGGGATGGGTCAGGTCAGTGCATAAAGACATACAAATAACTGGTATTGAAAGTGTCCATGCCCCTCTCCTAGCAACTGAATTCTGTACATTAGTCTCTTTCTCTCCCCCACAGCATGTAGAATGATTGTGGGAAGTGCAAATGATCCCATACTTCATCTTTGTACATTTGGAAGTGAACTGTTGATCTGAGTGGCTGCACAGGATCTCCTTTGATGATGGATACTGAACCTACTAGGCTAATATCCAAGACCAAAGAAAATCCCATATTCAAGTAAAACAGAAGATGTCGCAGGTCAGGTGTTTATTTCTATGTACAGTTAAGGGAGCAGAGAGGAAGTATGTTAGCCTAAGTATGTTAGCGGTCAGACGCACCATTTGATCTGGTGTCATGCCAGTTCAGAAACGGATTTTTATCTGCGTGATCACACTGTCCCAGCCGTCGCTTTCCGGCTCAAAACCGCTTTAACCCGGAGTAGTTTGATACCAGGTCCCCAAGTGGTGTTTTCCTGATTCTCTGGTTCCAACCATACTTTTCTGACATCTGATCATTCCTCCGGTGTCAAGCCACTTCCGGTTTAAACTCCCTCCCGGCTCGAAAGCTGCCCGAGGCTTCCGCTTTTCGCCTGCCATTTTTTCCCCAAAGCACTGACGGTGTGCGCATAGGCGGAGCTCTGCTGCCCACATTTCCGGTGATGTCAGGGGGTGTGGCCTTATGACACACTTCCGGTGATATCAGCGGGTGTGGCATATGCTAATGAGTTATGCTAATGAGTTCCCCTAGCTCTTTTTCTACGAAATGACCCCTGGTTACAGCAGTCGGGTTGAAGAGGAAATTGCTGTTCTGCGCAAGCGCGAAAATTTTAGTTCTACAGATGGCTGCCTATGCGCATGCCCAAACTGAGAGAGAGAGAAAAACCAACACCGACGCGTGTGGACAGTGGGGAGCAATGTGGCTGCACAGCAATCCGGAGCAAGGAGGTGTGATCGCGATTCTCCAAGTTAAAAAACCCCGCATCAGGGCTGGAGCAATTTAAACCGCTCCCAGCACACCATCTGACCGCACCCATAGAGGTGAGCAGAGGTGATGTCTGAACATCAATGCCTTCTCAATCAAACCTGCCTTTAGTTTTGAGATCCTTCATCCTTTGCAAAGGAAACAGAATTCCTTTCACTGCAGGAATAACCATAAAAAGTATTTTGCTTAGTACCAGTCACAAGCTGGACCATACGATTAATGTGATTTCTACTACAGGATGAAGAATAACATTTCAAATCATAACAATATATAAGGAAAAATGTAAACGGTTGATCCTAGAAGGAAAAATGGACTTAAACGGTGCTCTGATATGGAGGCTAGCAGAACCAAGATTTCTAGTTACAAGTTATGCCACTGCTTTCCACACAGGGACAGTGTTGTGCGGT